AATTATGGCGAATTAAAATTATTTTCATTAAAAAATTTCAACTAAGAATTAATTTAATTCAAATAATCATTAAGCGCTAAAAAAAAATTTTAATAGAGGAACTTTTGAGAAAATTTATTATTAATTAGTAATCATTTAATTAAGTAAATGAATTGATTAAGATTTTTAGATTGTGGCAGTAATTAAACAAGTATACTGTCATTCTTAATAAAATTATGTAGAAGATAACACTACTACTTAATATTAGTTGTTTACTAATATATGTATTATTTTAAAATAATGATTCATAATAATAGAAAAAGGGTTAAGAATTATTTAATGAACTTATTGATATTAATGCAATGGTTTATAAAGTTAATCAATTAGATTATGAAAAAGAATTGAAATTGAAAACATTGAAGCTTAATGCAACTTAAAATTTATATCAAACTATATGATTTAGAATTAAATGCATTTATATTTAAAACTGAAAATTTGTAAGGTAATTTTTTCAAAGAATCAAATTTTTATTTTAGATTTCAAAAAACAAAAATATAGTTAAGCCATATTTATATAAGGGAAATTAAAGTGGAAATAAATTATCTGTACTAAAATATTAACAAGAGCTTAAAAATCTTGGAAAGTTTGTAATACAATTATAATCATTAATTGATCTTGCAGATTAAAGGAGAACTGATTATTTAACAAAATAATAGTTTTAGCATTCATATACTATGATAGAAAGTAACTAAAAATATTTTAAATCAATTATTTAATTCCATTAAGTTTTGGATTTAGTTAAGGTAAAAATTAAATAAAAGAGTTTAATTAGGTATTAGCAAAAAATATAATTTCGTTCAGCTGAAATACTTTATATATAAAATATTATTAAAAGTAAAGTAATTAAGATCATCATAAAATAAACTATAAAATCTTTGAACTTATGAACCCAAAATCTTATATTAAAGAAACAAACTTTAGACTTTCTTATTTTACTTGGTCGGGCTCATATTAAAAATAAAGGAAAGCATATTAAAGTTTCATACCTTTAGTCAATAGTTTACATAAAATACTAATAATCTAATGAAACAAAGACATATTCTCTATCCTAATAAAAATGGAGTAAGAAAATTTAAGACTAATTTATATCAAACAGATTTTAATTGTCAAATTAAATTTGGTTTTTAAATTTATAAATTAAGTTAAGTTTAGTAGAGATATATATGACAGTCCGTGCTAAATTCATCTTTAAAAGTCTCAGATGGCTTAAGATTCAACTAATGAAGACTATTTTATCTAGACTTTTGATTTTTAAGGAATTTATGAGCAAATATATATCTATTAACGAAGTCAATTTCTATAATTATAAACAAGAATTATTTTATGAAATTAGAAATAAATTTTATATTTAATTTAGAACAACTCTTATTTTTTTATCGGTTTAGCATTATATTTATCAGCCTCATACTTTATGAAATACGTTTTAATTAACTTTAAATATTTGAGAAAATAAATTCGTGCAATCTTGATTAGTAATTTATATTTCCATGAGGTTAAAATGTAATTTATTAAAAGTAAAAATTCGAAAAAAAATAATAGTAGACTGAAATATATTATCAAAAAACAACTAAAAATACATCCAATCTTATAGAAAAGTAAATTAAAACTGAAAAATTTACACATAAATTAATTTTTTTAATATTTATCTTAATATTCATTTCTTATATTTTAAATATTCATAAATATGTTTTCCATAATTTGTACCCATTTTAATCCATGCCCCAACTTTCTTACCTATCATATTATATTCACCATTATGAGTGATTTATCTGCCATCCTTAAATCCTTCATCCAATTCTATCCATTTTCCAATCTTTTTTTAACCTTCCTTTTAATCATATAATCCCCCTCCACTAGAATATTTTATTATACTTATAATATTTACATTTTTTTATATTTTCCATCTCTAACTTCACAATACATAATATCCCATTGACCAACCTTCATACCCTTTATATTATATTCACCTTGATAAGTCACTTAAGCCAAATTATGAAACCCTCCCCATAATTCTACCCACTTTCCAATTTTATTCAAACCCTTTTAATCATATGATCCACCTCCACTTACAAATATTAATTCAATATTTACAGATATTGATATTTCCCATCACCATCCACATCACAATAACTAATATCCCATCTACCTATTTGTAAGCCATTCATATTATATTCTCCATTACAAATAACCTAAGCACTGTACTAAAAGCCTTCCCATAATTCAACCCACTTTCCAATCTTTAAACCCGCTTAATCATATGATCCGCCACCACTAACAAATTATTAAATTAAACATTACATTTATAACTCTTTGAATATAATTTCCCACCTGCCTATTTTCATACCTTTTATATTATATTCCCCAATATATGTGATTTATTTATCATCTCTAAACTCTTCATCTATCTCAATCCACTTCCCAATTTTCTTCTAATATTCCTCTTAATCGTATTATCCGCCACCACTATCATATTATTATCATGTTTATATTACATTAATTTTTCCCTAAATACAATGTCCCATCTTCCTACCTTATAACCCATTTTATTATATTCACCATGATGAGTGATTTTTTTTAAAATAAAAAATCCTTCATCCAACTCAACCCATTTGCCTTTTTTCTATCCTACCCTATTGTAGAACCCACCATCGCTATTTTAAAATTCGCCATCACTTAATAATTATTAATATAACCAACATCTTATTTTTTTAGAAACCATAATTCCATTTACCTATTCTAAGGTCATTATGGTACTCTCCTGTTTCAAAAACTGTAGCTCGACTATAATTATTAATAAATCTAAATAATTTACCTCCAATAATTTTTGATAAGTTCTTTCCATAAACCTTACTTCAATCCATCTCTATAGTATCCACCAATATTTATGAGAACTTTTCCATCCCAAGAAGCCATCCATTTTCCCTATTTCTTGTTTTTCAATCCATATTATCCTGACCAATAAAGAAATTGAATTTGTTCCATATTATTTAAGATTTCTATATCTTTGGAGGTATCATAAATTTATTCGCTTTATAACTAGTGAATAATACTTACATCCTCAAAATTAAATTATCTTTCAAATATACTATTTTTTGTTCCTAAGTAAAATAAATTTGAATATTAATTTTAACAAGCTTATACTTTTCCTAATCCCATTGGTAAATCTTTTGTTCTTTTTTGTCTTAATTCTAATTTGTTTGCTCGGAGACAACCAAAGACTTTTCTGTTCGAAAATTCATTCTTTCTAAATATTAAAATAAGATAATTTAATAATTAAATTACCTTATTTTATTTTAGTCGTTTCATTCTTTCGGTGAGAAGATTTTTTGTGAATAAATTTTTATACCTAATAGAAATATTTCTACTTATTTTAAAATGAATTTGAATTAAAATAATCTCCAGTTCATTTTTCATTACATTAATTTTTCATTCTCAATTTATCCTATTCTAAGTAATCTTTATTAATTATGCCCAAATTATAAATACATTTAACTTTTTGATTGATATTAAAATTGAATTTGGATTATTGACAAATTAATTGGTAGTAATGAAAAACATTAAAATTTCAGCAAAAAAAGTTTAATGTGGAATATTTTTACCAAAAATTAAAATTTCAGGAGCTATCATGATTTCTAATTCTCTGTATTTTAACTTAAACTTTTATATTATATTCTAGAAGGTATATGCTAAAATCTTTCAAATATTAAACTTGCATTTTTGAATTGCAATGTTCATACTTAAACTTATGAAATATTATGCAATATAAAATATTTCTTATAAGCAGGTGATTGATTTATCTTTAATTGATTAAAATAATTTATTATATTATCTATCTCTATAAAATCTTATATATTTAAAAAGATTCACGAAGACTCATATTTTTAAATTGGTAGTCGATAGATTTTCGTTGTTTTTTTTTATAAATATTTTATCATATATTAAAAAGAATAATTGTGACATTATTAATAATTCTAATATAATAATAATTAAAAATATTCTCGAAACAATATTCTAAACTAATTTTTCAATAAAACTTTTAGTGTATTCTCAAGGATTTTTAGCAGAATAATCTAAATCTTTACTAAAATTAATTCCTATTTTAGTGACTTATTCTATCATTTTTTCAGCATTCTAAATTTATAAATAATCATTAATGGCATTATGATAATAAATTCCTTTTTCTTTGAAAAATGATAAAACTTAATTTAGAATTGAAAAAACTTGGAATCTTAACATATATAATGATTTTTACATCTTTTTCATGAATTTAAGGGTTATCTTAACAGAAAAAAGACCAATTCATTTTAATAATAAGTAATGAATAATCCATTATGTTCAAACTTTAAAAGAATTCTGAATTTTTAATTTAACTATTTTTCAATTAATCTTTAATACTTTCAGGAATAATAATTTGACTTATGCTTCTTTAAAATCAATATCTTTAAGAGTTGTTTTTCTCAGATTCCTTTTAAAATCCTCTGACTTCAAGACTTTTCTTTAAAATTCAGATCCTTTAAGATTGTAAGTTTTCAATACATAATTAGATGGAATTTATAATGCATTTTTCATCATAATAAATATTTTCGATTCTTGACCCTATTAAATAAATATGTTGAAATTTTTTACATTTTAAAATTCAAATTTAAATATACTATATTTTGGTAATATTAATGAATCATTTTCATATAAATTTAAGAAATAGCTTCCTAAATTTTAAAGTATAACTAGTAGTTCTTGTTCACTGATTGTTTTGAGTAGTAATTTATTATCATATGTAAATATGAAAATTTAATATTATTTCTTCTTAGCAAATTTATTTAAAGGATATATTTGAATCAACTGGAATCATTTTTATAATAATTGATTATTCTTTTTCAGATCATTATTTCTGTTTAAGTTAATAATGTTTGAATATACTTTTAGATGTTAATTTTTCAAATTTTAGATATTAGTTAAATGTATTGAATGAAGTTAGTAAGACGAGGAATAGATAAATTAATAAAGTTTTGCAGAATTGAGAAATGAACAATCATAAGCAGGAAATTTAATAAGAAATATATTTTATAACAACTATGCTGAGAATTTGAACATTTTAAGATAAATCAAATGAATTTAAAAAATATAATATAAAACCTCGCTGAGATAATAAAATAACACAAATATTAAATAAAAGTTTGTTATTAAAAATCTTTGATAAAATATTATATTCATAAATAATTTATGAATTAAAAATAAATAATTATAGAACAGTCTAAAAAGATAACAATTTTGCCTTTTTTAGACCACTTTGAGAAGCAACTAGGATATTGAAATATCAAAATTACTATTAATCAATTTATAATAAATTAATCAAATTAACCTATTAGGAGTAGAATAGATTGATTTTATTTCTCAAGCACTTGAAAAACAATATTTGTCAATTTTCAAGCCTTGTTAGTTAAATAATTGAAAATACATTTTTTTAGGCTAATTTTTAATATATTATCAATCCAATTTGAAAAAATTTGATTTAGTATACTTTATTTTCATTGTCGTTAATTTTAACTAAGAGAAAGCTTTACCCCTAGATAATAATATATTTAATTTGAAATATATATGTAGAATAATAAACAATAAAAAGGGCAATTTTTAATAATAATAACATAATATTGAGGATTTATTTATATATTAATAATTATAATTTTCATTTATAATTATTAAATTAATGAAAAGATTCTTATTATTAAATTTATATTAAAAAGATACAATCCATCAAAAGGCTATATTTATGATTTTTTTTTTTAAATTCAATATATTTGCTGTCATTAAATCAAATGATTGCAAAAAATAGTACAAGATCATCATTATATAATGAGATTGATAATCAATGAAATTCATTAATATTAATATTTCAAAAAAAATATTATGATGGGAAATATTTGCAAGCCATAGGTTTCGATAATGGAAGAAAGAAAGGAGTTAAATAAAAAAGTTGAAATTGAATAACAAAGAAAAAACGAAAAAGATAAATAAGAAAATAATTATGTTTAAAAATAAGAATCTATAAAGGATGATCACAAACTCTATCCAACTCATTTGGAGGGATAAATAATGAGAAATGAAAATAATCAAGAAGGAAGTAATGAATAAAAAAAAAAATTATAGGAAATAAAAAGTGAAAATAAAAAGTAGGAATAGGTTATTGGAACTAATTTATGAAAATATTGAAAAATAAAAATAAAGTGAAATCCCCTTTTGATTAGTAGATTTTATTGAATTGTCTTAGTATTTATAAAAATGATAATTCATAATTTGAAAGCATGTATTAAAAATTGAATTTAATTTAGAATATAGATCATTGATAAGATGTTTTATTGCACAGTTAAAGATTAATAAATGGTATTTAAATAAGGAGATAAAGCAAGCTTATTTTTAATAATTGCCAGTGGTAGATGCAAAGTTAGAATAAATAATAATAAAACAAAATTTTTTTAATCTGGATAGTCATTTGGGGAATTATAAATTTTGTACAATGTTCCAAGATCTGCTTGAGTAAAAGCATTAGGAAGTACTAAATTTAATAATTTTAGATTGTTCTTTTTGGGCTATAGATAGAAATATATTTAGAAAAGCAATAGAAGAAATATCGTTGAAGGATTATGAATAAAATTAAGAAATAATATAGAAAGTTAAATGTTTTTGTAATAAAATAAAAATAATTGGTTAGAGTCACTTACTTATGATTAAAGAAAAGCAATCTCATCATTTGTAATAACCCTAAGCTTTGATGCTGGAAAGATAATTGTAAGGAAGGGTGATTAAGCAGATTCATTTTTTATTATTAAAAAAGGAGAGGTTGAAATTTATAAGGGAGATGATTAATTGATAAGAGCTTAAGAAGGAGATTCATTTGAAGAATATTCATTATAAAATAATTCAGTAAGATAAGCAACAGTCTAAGCATATAAAGAGAGTTTAAAGCAAAAGATAAACAAGACAGGATTGTATGTAAAGGGAGTGGAGTTTATTGACTGTAAATGCATCGATAAAAGTTATTTATTTGAAGCAGAAACGATGGATTCAGTATCAAATTAGGATGAAATACGGCCGAATTTGCTAAAGATTGTATTATAACTTAACATGTTTTTATTAATTTCAAACTAATGTTAATTAAATTACAATAAATAAATAAAATTTTAAATGAAAATCATTTTTTTTTCATCCTTCATTAATTGATCTGGAGTGTTTATTTTGTTTAATTTACTCTAAAGAAAAAGGTTATTATCATTTTTTGTTTTAATAAACCCAAATTTTTTGGCAATCATTAATGATAGTTTTCCTAACTCTTTAAACATGTTCCACTTCTACTTGGTCATATCTTTTGTGATTCCATGTGTGGGTCCACAACAAATCTAAAATTACAATATATTATCGGAAAACAGTAAGCTTATAATTAAATGTTAAATGTTAGATAAATTGCTAAGTAAAAAAAGTGATGCTTGATTAGTTGCTATTTAAAAAACTTTCTCTACTTTTGTAGAAATATTCATATTTATTTAGAAGTTCTTCAAATTAATTGATTTTTTAAGTATTTTTTGAATTGCTGCTCTTGTTACTAATAAATTGTTTCAACAAAATAACTTTACAATTTTAATTCTCATATTTTTGGATAATAAAAAATTTTATATGAATAAATAAAATTTAAAAAGATCTCATCACAAAGAGTTAAGAAGATAAACAACGATAAGATCCTCTCGAAGCAGAAACAAAAGCAATAATAGAATAGATTTTCCCTCTTGCAGACAGCAATGGGAATGATGGAACCATATTATATGTGATATGGGTCTAAAGGGCCTTCTAGATTGGCCTAGTGAAAAGATTAAGTTAGAGACATTTTGTGGTGATGACGAGAATTTTCTACAACAGTTTGAATTATATTAGTTGAGGCACAAGTATTTGAGGCCTAAGATTGATGCCCTTTGCATAGAAGAATTTAAGGATAATTCTTTCTAAATCTCATTAGAATATACCAAAAATTCATAAGCTGAAGAAGATATCAGAACAAGAACAATAGACCAATCTTAAGATGTTAAAAACATAAAACAATCTCGGCAAGGAGCAAAAATAAGGATAAACAGGAGATTATAATATGTTAAATAGTTTGAGTTATTCAATGAATATACAACCTTTTTTATGAACTACTTATAATAGCATTGAGAGCAAGAGTTTAACTTTTTTATTAAATTAACTTTATTGAATTTAGTAGACTATTTTTTTTTGTTAAATCGGTTCAATTGAATCCTAAATAACATAAATAATAGATAAAAATATATATAAATCAAAAACTAAGAAGACTTATTAAATAATAGATGAATGGAGCATTAATATTTTCTTTTATTTTAGTTAATACAAAAAAAAACCTTACTTCTTTATAGCCATTTTAGTTTTTATATATAGAATTGTCATAAAAATTTATGGAAAAGTGCCAACTTCTAAAAATTAACATTAAAAAGTATTTTATATTATAATCAAAATCTGAAAAAATTTTCGATTTCTTTTTTTTATTGATAGCAATTCTAATTGCATTATCAATTCCTTCTTGAATTTTTGACATAACTAAACGGCCACGACCTATATCTATAATAAATCAATAAAGCAAAATATATTAATTAAATAAATATTTCTTTTACTTTTCAATAATCATAATCAATCTTTCCTCGTTTTAAATGTTAGATTGTGTCTATTTCTTCCCATCTACCTACCTTCACACCATCCGAATTATATTCACCATTATGGGTGATTTATTCCCAAAAATGAAACCTTTCATCCAATTCTACCCACTTTCCAAACTTTTTCTAACTTCCTTCTTAATCATATTAGCCACCACCACTGAAATTGTTTTTTCCTTTCTACTTATATAATATTTACATCTTTTTAATTTCTTTTTCATTATCTCTCCAATAAAATATATCCCATTTACCTACCTTTCTAGAGTTCATATCATATTGACCACTATAAGTTATTTCTTTACAATCTTTAAAACATTCATCCAATTCTATCCAATTTCCAATCTTCTACTAATTTCCTTATTAATCATATGATCCACCACCACTGTATATTCCCTTATATTTATATAATGTTTACATTAATTTATATTCTTTATTCCCCCATTACTTATAAATTATATCCCATCTACCTATCTTCTGACCATTTACATTATATTCACCAATATAAGTGATTTATTTATCATCATAAAACCTTTCATCCAATTCTACCCACTTCCCAATCTTTTTCTAACTTCCTTCTTAATCATACGATCCACCACCACTGCACATTCCCTCATATTTATGTAATATTTACATGAGTTTAAATTCTTTTTCATTATCTCTCCAATAAAATATATCCCATTTACCTACCTTTCTAGAGTTCATATCATATTCCCCATGATAAGTGATTTACTTATTATAATCAAACCCTTCATCTAATTCTACCCATTTTCCAATTTTTTTCTAATTTCCTTCTTAATCATATAATCCACCAAAACTAGACGATCCCTATTACTTAAATAATTTTTACCTTTATTAATATCCATCATCACTTGTAAACCAAATATCCCATCTGTTTATTTTCATACCATTCATATTGTATTCACCATTGTGAGTGATTTATTTTCCATATTTAAACTCTTAATCAAGTTCTATCCATTTTCCAATCTTTTTCTAATATCCTTCTTAATCGTATGACCCACCCCCACTGCAATCCTTAAATTGAAAATATTTACATCTATTGATATCCTTTTTCATTAAAATCATAATATTAGTGATACAGAATTTCCCATCTACCTACCTTCATACAATTTAGATTAAACTCACCATTATAAATGACTTAATTATTATTAGAAAACTTTTCATCCAGTTCAATCCACTTTCCAATTTTTTTCTAACTCCCTTCTTTATCATATGATCCTCCACCACTATATACTCCCTTATACATATATACATTTATTTAAATTCTTTTTTATTATCTTAAAAATGCAATATATTCCACGAACCTGTCTTATTACCGTTCACATTATATTCACCAGCATAAATTACTTTCTTAAAATTATCAAACTCTTTATCTAATTCCACCCACTTTCCAATTTTTTTCTAATTTCCTGATTAATCATATGTTCCACCACCACTATATTTCTTATATCTTTATAATTTACATTTAAACTCCTTCGTACATTGTATCCCATCTACCTATCTTAATGCCATTCATATTATACACACCATTGAAAGTGACTTTTTTATTACCATAAAATCCTTCATCCAATTCAATCCACTTTCCAATTTTTTTCTAATTTCCTTCTTAATCATATGATCCTCCGCCACTTTAATCCCTATACTTTAATTATTTTTACATCTGTTAAGAATCTCTATTACCCCATTTATCATACATAATTTCCCATATACCTATCTTCTTACCATTCATATTATATTCGCCAATATAAGTGACTTTTTTATTATAATCAAACCCTTCATCTAATTCAATCCACTTTCCAATTTTTTTCTGATTTCCTTCTTTATCAAATGATCCGCCACCACTTTATTTTCTTATTCTTAAGTAATTTTTACATTTATTTAAATTTATTCTCAAATCTATTACCATACATAGTATTCCATCTGCCTACCTTCATGCCATTTGATTAATATTCACCATTATAGGCTACTCTTTTTCCACAATAAAATCCTTCATCTAGTTCAACCCATAAGCCTTATTTTAAGCTATCTTAATTATAAAACCCTCCACCACTAAACATTTTAAAAATAATTACATCTTAGCATCTTAAAAGATATAATACCATTAACCAATCCTTAAGTTATTGTAATATTTTCCAGTTTCGAAAATATTTGCTTACCTATTCATATTAACATATATTTATAACATACTTATAATAATTAAGGAAAAGATCTTTCCATTAACCTTGCTTTTAGCCATTTTTAAACTACCCACCAACATTTTACAATATGTTTTTATCCCAAGTAATAATCCATTTGCCATCTTTTTTTTTGTTCAAATTGTATTAACCTTGCCAAGAAAGATATTTTATTTGATCCATATTATTAAATATATCTGGATTCTCAAAGACATCATGCACTTATTCACTTTAATTTAGCTTATAAAAAATAATTACATTCTCAGAATTGCCCCATTTCTTTAATAAATAATTTATTGATCTGAGGTGAACTTGATTTGAATTATTATTTTCTCAATCCTCTATTTATTTTGGTTATAAATGCCAACTTCTTTTTCAATAGTTTATTCCTTCCATTCTGTTGATTATTTGCCACCAAAATGATTTCGAGGAGACTAATTCATTTTTTAAATTAAATTTTATTTCTATTTCTTTACAAATGCCTAAATTCTTTCGATTAGACTTGTAATGTATGGAATAAAAAAACAAAATCTGAATCTTAATTTTTAGCTGCTTTTGAATGTTCTGAAGTTTAAGTTGGAATGGTTAACATCCCTCCTACATTATTTTCGACAACTGATAGTGATGGTTATATATATTTATGGAATTTATCATATGGCTTAGAAGCACCTATCAAATATATAAATCAGGAAATAATTCTACTAATAAATCTTGATGGTCTAAAGATGATACAAAAATTTGTTATGGGAGATTCATATGGAGAAATACAAATTTTATAATTGTTATCTCAAAATGTTTATAATTCATGAAAGATTAAAAGTGATAAACAATTATTAGTGATTATATGTGAAATTTGAATCTGGATTAAGTCAATTTGAATGTCACATCAAAAATACTTCAATATTATATTATTAGACTTAAATTTCATAATAAAATATTGCTAGTGTCAATTTTAACTTTTCTAAAAATGAACTATATTCAAGGATCTAATAGAGGCATCATTATTATTTGGAATGTTGAAAATTAAAATGTATATTATATTTTATACATAATCCATAGAAATCTAAACTGTAAAAAGCCATAAAACTTGTGCCAATAATCTTTGTATTTATTCTACTGAAGAAAATAAGCGTCTTCTTCTTATTCAAGCCTATGACTCCATTCAAATTCTGGGGATTAAGGTCTAAAACTGCAGTTAATCAATTCAAAGATTATAACATGTAAATTAATACTTTGGCAATTTCACCTTATTGTAAATAATTGGTATCCGGTTCAAACAATCGATAACATATAACATA